GTGATGTTGTTAGTGAAAGATGAAGTTAGTGGAATTGTGAGTCACATTTGCAATAATACTGTGACAAATGAGTCCTGCAGAACTGCCCAAAACTGAACGTAAAACTGAAAATGTCTCTCTCTAAGCCACGGGTGCTTCCCCTAAGCTTGAAAAACTTCGGAAATTTCTAACAATTATTTACCTTGCTACATTGTCGACTTTTCTAAAGTAAATACAAATACCATCTAGTTTTAAAAACTGACCCTCACAAACTGTTTAAAAATATCACAAAAGAAACATTCTTAAGTTAATAATTAATTCTTTCAGATACAAAGTAAAACCCATATGTCACCACTTCAAAATCCAAAAATCGTTATGAACAATGATATATGAATAATAATATTATATATACTGGATATTAATCGCACAATTTACATCATATTATACATAAAGGATCCTGGATTGGTGCTCTTCACTCTTACTTCCTGATAACACATTTCAATCACAGGTGTTCTCTGGTAGCCAGAGGCTACTCATGCAATGTTATTCCAAGATCTGCTGCAAGTCATATACTTCATACACATTTTGATTTTTTAAGATGGCCTCTCATCATACTGCTGTGAAATACTTGATAATGGTCAGAAAACCATGCAGTTCACAGATGTAAACCTTCCGTTGCAGTCTTAGCCTTTATTGAGATCAAGAACTGAAATTACAGTTAAATACTCCTTTTTTGATGATCATCCTGTTTAATTCTTCAGGACTGTCCTGAAAAAAAAAACAGTTGAGTATACCCATTTTCATTATTTTCCACTCATAGAATCATGCATTACAGAAGAGGCCCTTTGGTCCATCAAGTATGTACCACCATAAATATACAGTAATCCCACATCCCCACACTAGCCCTTGTCTTGAATTGTATGACACCTCAAGTGCTCATCCAAGTACTCATTAATGATTGTCGGGTTTCCCACCTCAGCTACTCTTCCAGGAGGTGCATTCCAGACCACTAGGTGAAAAATCTTTTCCTCAGATCCCCTCAAAATCTCCTGACTTTTACTTTAATAGCATTCCCCCTGTTATTGACCCTTCAATTAAGGGGAACAGCTACTTTGTATTCACCCTGTCCATGCCCCTCATAATCTTATACACCTCTAGGAGGATCCACTCAAGCTTCTCTGCTCAAAAGCAAACAATTTGAGCTTATACAGCTTCTCTTAGCTGAAATGCCCCACCCCAGGCAACAACCTGGTGAATTGCGTTACACCCCATCCAGTGCAATGATCTCCCATCTGTACTGTAGTGACCAGAACTGTGCACAGTATCCCAGCTGTGGCCTAGCTGTGTTCTGTACAGCTCCAGCATAACCTCCCTTCTCTATGCTATACAATCTATGCTATAATTTTTGCTATGCAAAAATCCTGTATCCTTTCTCAGCTACCTTATGAGCCTGTCCTGCCATCTTCAGGGATCTGTGGACAAGCTCCCCAAGATCCCTCTGTTCCTCTGAGGTTCCTTGTGTCTTGCCATTTATTGAGTACTCCCTTGTCTTGTGCCTTTTTCCAAAGTGCATCACCTCACATTTATTAACGTTAAATTCCATCTGCCATTGATCTGCCTACCAGATCAATCTGTTTATATTGTCCCAGAATGTAACATCTTCCTCTTTATGGTCAAACACGCAGCCAATCTTTGTGCCATCTGAAAGCTTACTTATCACCCCCTGATATGCTTATCTACACCATTTATGAATATCACAAACAAGAGGGAGAGATGTAAAAGGAACCTAAGGGGAAATTTTTTCACACAGAGGGTGGTGCGTGTATGGAATGAGCTGCCAGAGCAAGTGGAGGAGGTGGGTACAATTACGACATTTTAAAGGCATCTAGTTGGGTACATGAATAGGAAGAGTTTAGAGGGATCTGGGTCAAATAATGGGAAATGGGACTGGATTAATTTAGAACATCTGGTCAGCATGTGAGTTGGACTGAAGGGTCTGTTTCCTTGCTGTACAACTCTATGACTCCAATAAGGGACCCAGTGCTGATCCCTATGGTATGCCACTATGGGGAGGCAATGGCCTAGTGTATTATCGCTGGACTGTTAATCCAGAGACCCAGATAATGCTCTGGACCAGGGTTCGAATCCCAGCACGAAATTTGAATTCAATAAATATCTGGAGTTAAGAGTCTAACAATGACCATGAATCCATTGTCAATTGTCGGGAAAAACCCATCTGGTTCACTAATGTCCTTTAGGGAAGGAAACCGCCATCCTTACCTGGTCTGGCCTACATGTGACTCCAGACCCACAGCAATGTGGTTGACTCTTAACTGCCCTCTGCGCAATTAGGGATGAGCAATAAATACTGGCCTAGCCAGTGATGCCCTCATCCCGTGAATGAATAGAGGGGAAAAAACAACCAACTCTAGTCACACAAACAGCCTTCTACAACTGCCCTCTGTCTCCTTTCACTAAGCTGATTTGGGATCCATCTTGTGAAGTTACCTGGGACTCTATGAACTTTTACCTGCTTTATCAGTTTCACATGTGGAACATTTCAAGAGCCTTTCTGAAATCCATATAAAGTACATTAACTGCCCTACCCTCATCCAAACACTTGGTCACTTCCACAAAAAATTCCACTAGATTTGTTAAACATGACATCCGTCTAACAAAGCCATGCTGGCTATCCCTGATCAAACCTTGCCTCTCTAAATGGAGAGTTAATTTTCTCCTCCACTATTTTCTCCAATAGTTTCCCTGTCACTGATGTTAGACTCAGTTTCCCTGTCACTGATGTTAGACTCACTGATCTACAGTTTTCTGGTCTATTTCTATCACCCTTCTTGTAAAGTAGAACGCACATTAGCTGTTCTCCAGTCATCTGGCGTCTCCCCGGTGCCAGAGACATTTAAAATTTTGCGTGAGGACCCCTGTAAATTTTTTCCTTCACCTTCTACAGCAGCCTGGGATATAACTCATCTGGAGCTGGAGGTTTGTCCACTTTTAAATTTCCCAAAACCTCCAAAACCTCCCCACTTCCTAATCAATCAGCTCAAGAACTTCACAGTCCATTATCTCAAATTCTGTACTTGCACCTTCCTTCTCCCAAGTAAAGACAGATAGAATCATCAAGTCATAGTCATACAGCACAGAAACAGACCTTTGGTCCAACCAGTCCATGCTGAACATAATCCCAAACTATACTAGTCCTACCAGCCTGCTCCTGGCCCATATCCCTCCAAACCTTTCCTATTCATATCTCCATCCAAATGTCTTTTAAACGTTGTAATTGTACCTGCATACACCATTTCATCAGGAAGTTCATTCCACATGCGAGCTACCCTCTGTGTAAAAAAATTTGCCCCTCATATGTTTTCAAATCTCTCTCTTCTCACCTTAAAAATGTACTCCCAAGTCTTGAAATTCCCCATCTTAGGGAAAAGACAATTACCATCAACTCTAATTATACCTGTCATTATCTTATAAACTTCTATCAGGCCACCTCTCAACCTCCTACGCTCCTGTGAAAAAAGTCCCAGCCTATCCAGCCTTTCTTTATAACTCAAACCCTCCATACCCGGCAACATCCTGGTAAATCTCTTCTGAACCCTCTCCAGCTTGATAATATCCTTCCTATAACTGGGCAACCAGAAGTGGACACAGTATTTCAGAAAAGGCCTCCCTATTGTCCTGTACAACCTCAACATAACATCGCAACTCCTATACTCAAAGGACTGAGCAATGATGGCAAGCGTGCCAAACACCTTTTTGACCATCCTGTCTACATGTGATGCAAACTTTAAAGAATTAGGTACCTGCATCCCCAGGTCCCTCTGTTTTACAACACTACCCAAGACCCTATCAGGCCTTACCCTTTGTTCTACAAAAATGCAACACCTTGCATTTATCCAGATTGAACTCCACCTGCCATTTTTCAGCCCATTGACCCATTTGATCAAGATCACTTTGTAATCTTAGAAAACCTTTTTCACTGTCTTCAATGCCACCAATTTTGGTGTCATCTGCAAACTTACTAACCATCCAGATAATTTATGTAATTGATAAATGAAAGAGGACCCAGAACCAATCCCTGTGGAACATCACTGTTCACAGGCCTCTAGTCTGAAAAGCAACTGTCCACCATTCCTCTCTTTTTCCTGCTGTTAAGCCAATTATGTATCCCATTGGAAGTCTCACAATGCCAGACAATGTTGATAATTGTGAATAAATTTGTCTGAGGTCTTCCTGTTGAAGGTAATTGGAGGTCTATTTAGTTATCAGACCCTCCCAGTGCCTCCATATATGTAGATATTAGTTTGTATGTGTAAGAGAGGTCTTTGGGTTTTTTTTTGGATAGAGTCAAAATCCAATGTTTTGTTTATTTACTTATTATGCAACTGTACAGAACCAAACTGCTTTTGTGACAAAGTATATATGTAGAAATTTTTATAAATAAAGTATATTTTTGAAATTAAAAAAGTGAACAAATTTTCAAAGTGAATGCCAACTTTGAAATAACAAGGTGTAGAGCTGGATGAACAGAGCAGGCCAAGCAGCATCAGAGGAGCAGAAAAGCTGACGTTTTGGGCCTAGACTCTTCTTCCCAACTTTGAAGTCCGTTTGGAGATGCAAAGAGAGCTTTTCTGATACGTCATCCTTCTCTTATCATTCCTTTCCAATCTTTCACTCCCTATCTTGTCTGTTGTTTGATAAATACTACGACTGAACCATTGCTCCTGTGAAGAACATTATTTATTTTTTTAAACATTTACGTTCCATTATTGGGGGAGAAGTCTGTCTACATATACATGTCTGTAAATCTGTCAACTGCTTACCCCCAGGGCAAGGCTGTTATAATTCCGACAAGGTATTATAAATTTTATTTTGTTGGGCATGAGCCTGAACTTGAACTACCAGTCTCAGATTGGTAGTTGAATGCAAATGCACCCAAAATGGTTCTTTGTTTTGACACCGGTGGTTATTTTGTGCTAACCTCACGACTCCTTTCACACCAGGCAATGGGAAGATGCAGAGATCATGGTGCTCCTTCAGCTGATGTATATAGACCTGGATTTCATGAGCAAATTCAACATTGAAATGGAGGTCCTGCAACAATTCCTTTTCGAGGTGTATCGCCATTATAACAACATTCCCTTCCATAACTTCAAGCATTGCTTCTGTGTCACCCAGATGGTAAGATAATTGCTGGTGCTAAGGGCAAAAATTTAACCTTACTTGGTGGTAGGACACTGATAACATTGGGTGTAATGCTGGTTTGGAACTCACCCTTTTTCGTACTTCATTGAAGTCAATGTGCAATACTGGGTGGGTTGTAAAATCAGTGTCCTGCCTGATCCTGTGGGTTTCCCACATGGTAAATCAGATTAAAATTGTCTCCCAGGACTCCAAAGTGGAGATATGTTTGGTTTGTTATTTTCATTTTTGCTACATTTCTTTTTTGAATATAATTGCAATTCGCTTCTTTTGCACAACTCTGGAAAACAATAGAATTGTTATCTTATCTCTTGAAGGGGCTGACACACGTTTGGGGTATAGTTCAACAGACAGCAATAGACCTTTGACATCCTACCCAATAATCCGTTTCACATGAGTGAGGCTGAGCAGTGAGTATCAGAAAGCTGTCCAACTACAGAGGTCTTTACAGCCAAGACTGATGTTGATTCAGTCTATACATTCAGACACTATTCATCCAGGCAGTTTCATGATCCCTCTAATCCAGGAACAGTGAAGCTAATTGTAAATTGTGGAGATTAGCTCAAATGAAACAAGCCTTTGTAGCCTGGAGTCTTTCAGTTCTGTGTTACTCAGTTCCACAATGCCAATGATCTGGAGAATTGTGGATGATTTCTGACCAATCTCAGTGTAATCTGAATGGGATTGAATAAAATAGTGTGAAATATTGCATTTTTAAAGGTGAGTTGTGATCTTCCCTACTTTTCATTTGCGTATCCATTGATTTTTATACTGTTCAAAGCCAAACCACTCACAAAACTGGGGCTATCCTCCTCCAATATCTGAAGGTGAGCTTATGTGTTTGGATGTATCCATCACATTGCCCCTAGTTACCTGTGTGGCTTCCAATTGTTTGTTGGTCACAATTCTTGTTTACCAAGGAGAGAACAAAACGATCAATTTAACTGAATAAAAGGTGCATGAAATCAGTTAGTTAAAGAATTGTTCATTGCCTTACAATTCTATTCTTGTTTGTGATTCTGAGTGATGTCATGTTCTTGACACAAATCAATTGCAGTAAATTATACTGCTATTGCACTGATTTACAGAAGGTTTAATTTCTGGACTAATGAAAATGACGTTGCATGGAAAATTGAATATAACTTCATCTTCTCTAAACCGTTTTAATGTTCCAGTGGCACTCCTAGCAGAAGTTCTAAGCCAATGAGGTTATCAAGTGATGTCTCAACGATTATCATTCTTTTAAAAAGCCCCGAATGTCTCTACTTTAATATGTTATAAAATCTAAATTGATTGAATGACTTCCCATTGGTCATCAGTGCGCTATCACCTGATAAATATGCTGAGGTTCTAACCAATCCTGTCTTAGAAGCTGCTTTTTGATTAATACCAGGGCCAATGACTCCACTAAGTTTAAACTGATCAACTGGGCAATGGGGTGAAGGTGGTGTGGTTGAAATCTAGATGGCTAAAATAATGCTATGAGATCAAATCCCATCATAGCAGCTGGTGGAATTGAAGTTTAATGAATAAATCTGCAATATAAAACTAGTCTTAGTAATGGACACCATAGAATCCTTCCTGATTGTGGTAAGAACCAAACCGGTTCTTTAAGGGGAGGAAACCTGGCATTCTTACCACATCTAGATTACATGTGACAGCCACAGCGATATGGTTTATTGTTAACTGCCCTCTGAAATGACCAAGCAAGCCATCTGTTTCAAGGGCAGTTACTGATAGGCAAAATACCCACACCTCATGAAAGAATAATGGAAGATAAAAATTAGATTGGGCTAAATGGAAAAATCACATTCATTAGAAGTATCATGAAAAGATATGTGTTATATCTTGGAACTGCATTGTGAGCTTGATAAGAAATTACATTCTGAGGATTAATAATACATATTAATATCAAATACTATGTAATTATCAGCAGTGACTAATTTTAAGAGCATTATGAATAAAAGACCAGTACAGATCATATTTAAAAGTGTAAGCTTTTTGTATGTAATACATTCATTTGCATTTAAGAGTTTATGAATCCCTTAGTAATAAATAATAGGTCAAAAATTGCCTGGAAACAACTTCAAATTATTTCTCAAGAATCTTCTGCAGCTTTACTGATAGATTTTTCAATGAAGTCTCAGTTTTTGTGCCCATTCTGCACTGAATGATCAGCTCAGCTGGAATGGCATTGAGGGACATGGTGTTGCAGTTGGTCTTCATGCCACCGGGTTAGGTAGGCAAAACCTGCCAGGGTTCTCCCACCAGATTATCAGTCAGTGAATACCACTGGAGCTGCATGTATGTCAATGTTACATAAGAATAGTATCAGCCTATCTATAATGGTCTCTACCCTAGTGAAGACATGGAACTACACCACAAAAAAAGGCCAGTTTGCCCATTAATTCCATCTCTTTTGATGAGCAGTGCAATAACTCCCATTCCCTTGATCTTTCCCCATAATCTTTCATCTCTTTTTCTCTCCCACTTGTGCAGTTCCCTTTTGAGTTTACTCTTGAATCTGTATGTACCATTCTTTCAGATTATCATTCAAATCCTAATTACACACAGCATGAAAATAACTTTCTTTATCATGTCTCTGATTCAAAGGTCAACTCTATATCCTTTGGCTATTGGGGCTTCAGCCAATTGAAACAGTTTCTTTTTATTTACCCTATCCATTTTTAAAATACTTTTTTCATGGGATAGGGACTTTGCTAACATACTTAATTGTCTGGATTTCTCCTATTTGGTATTAAAATTACATTGGAATTTAATGAAAATGGAAATTTCAATGTGTGCATTTATGAGGCACCCACCAATTTCTAAAACATGTGTTTACAGTTAATAGTAAAATCTTCACACATTCTGTTGTAAATAACTGGCATCTCTTTCTCTCTCTATATTTTTAATATTGATTAGTGTTGTTGTGTTTGTCTAATACTTAGCATGTTTGCTGAAGACAGACTCAAATAAACTGTCTGTACTCTCTGTGAATATTTTAGAATTTTGCAAGATGATAGTTGCCATACCATCAACTTGCACATGTTTACAGAATACTTGCTAGAAGCTAACAATTGCTTTAAAAATCTTTTGTGTCATGTGAGCATCATTGGCAAGGCCATCATTTGTTGTCCATCCCTAATTGCCCTGGAGAACGTGGGGGTGAGTTGCCAAAGGAAAGTTGGTGATGGTCCTGAGTTGAATGAGTAAGAAGCTCCGGGACACCTTTGCGGAGGTTCCTCATCATATTGTCATCTTTTACTGCTTCATGTGAATCGGGGAAACTCTCCAATGATTGGAGTCATATGCAGCACAAAGAAAGATGGTTGTGCTTGTTGGAGTTCAGTATTCTCAGCTCCAGGACATCTCTGCAGGATTCCCTCAGGGTAGTGTCCTAGGCCTAACCACATTCAGCTGCTTCATTTATTACCTTCCTTTCATCATAAGGTCAGAACTGGGGATGTTCGCCAGTGACAGCACAGTACACAGCACTGGTCACAATTCCTCAGATATTGAATTATATTGATGATATCTAGGCTTGGGTTGAAATGTGGCAAGTACAAACAGACCACACAAGTGCCAGGAAATGACCATCTTGAGTGTAGATATTAACCTAAAATTTAAAATAGTTCCGTGAAATTAATTAAAATAAAAAAAAAATCCTAGTGATGACATATTGATCGGAAGGGTCACTGGTTTTAACATGTTTCTGTCTTATTATAGAACCCCTACTTGGAACATCATGCCTGTACCAACCATCTGAGGAGTATCCTACCCTACCCCCATAATCCTTGTATTTGCCCCAGCCAACCTACCTTTGGAAAGAAACCAGAGCACCTAGGAGAAATGCACACAAACACAGAGAGAACATATAAATTCCACACAGACAGTCATCCCAGGCTGGCATTAAACCCAGGTCCTTGGTAATGTGAGGCAGCAGTGCTAACCAGCAAGCCACCATGTCAGTCAGTTATGCTGAAAGAATTTGTGTGTGTTTACATTGAGTGTTGTAACTCAACAGTAATGAACTGAGTTGCCACAGTAAAAGCTGAAGTTCCGTTTCCAAAAAGCTTAAGTTCTGTTTAAAACCGTCACAGTGAATCAGATATAATAATGTGAACTATTTATCAGCTAAATTTATGACTGTCGTGGAATTTTGTTGTGTAAACGGTTGGTTGGATGGTATAAAGGTGGTGAACATCCTGAACAAATTGGCCTGAGGTCAAAGTTCATGAAGTCCAAAAGATATGCCTGTTTCCAGGGAGAGATATGCAAGCCTTAGTAGATGACATGTCTGTGATATTTGCCAGTGGTCAATGTGATCATTTGCTGGAGACTAGACAGTGTAAAGTCTTCAATGCATTTCTTGTCTGTATGGAAAAAAAGGTATAAAGAAAGTTTGCCTCCAAGTATAGTCAGGCAGCTTAGGAGGGGAGCAGCAGCTGGAAGTTGGGACAGAACAGGTTGATCACCTGTTTTTGTCTGATCCTTGGAGAAGTCCACATAAATGGTTGATTTGGGATTGTAAGCATGGCAGGCATAAGATCTTTTGCTGTATTTTTGTAGTGTAGTTTGCTTTACTAAAGAGCATTAGGCATATTCTGTTGTCAGAACTGACTTGAGTTACTGATATCGGCGTGAACCCAATAAACCAGGAACACCGGGAATAAATCAATATAAGAGAAATTTTAAAAATCTCCCTCACCCCTGACATTCAATGGCATTATCATCGCTGAATAATACCCACCCAAGAAACCATATAAAAACTGTGATGATAAGAACAGGTCAGAGGCTAGGAATCCTGCAGAAGTACCTCACCTCGGGGACTGCTGCAGAAAGCAGATGGCCTTCCTTTGTACAGCCCATTCCACAAGGACCTCCAGATCCCTCTCATGTACCATCTTGCACCTCTCAGACATGGTATTGAGCTGCCACACTGCTGTGTGAAGGCCAGTGCCTGGCTTGCCGTGTTTGAAATGGGGTTTAAATATAGTGCCCATAGGGTGAATGTGGAAGGTCCCTGCATGGATGAGCACCTCTACTGCTGCCAACTGTACCAGTGCACTGGAACGTCACCGTGGAGGCGGCGTACATACTTAGTGAGGTGAACAGTAGAGAATTATGTGAGAAATGCTGTCAGGTCTCATGAAGAGAAACTCTCCATGGAACACCCTGAAATTGAAACGTCACCACAATGTTGGAACATTCAGTCTGTTCTTTAGGACTTATTTCATTGTGTGTCTTATTTTGCTTCACACAGATGTATGGGTTGATCTGGTTAACAGACCTTCAAAACAAAATGGACGATATTGATATCCTAACCATGCTCACCTCAGCAATATGCCATGATCTGGACCATCCAGGCTATAACAATGCATATCAGGTAATAATATCCTTTGGAACAATGTTTACACAGCACTGTTTTGCATACATATTTGATTATTTATGCAATTTATATAATCAATGAATATTTTTCTGATTACATTAATAATAATGGCAGAAAAAGGCAGAAGTTTGCTATCAAATATTTGGATTCCTTCATTACTTGCACATAATGGACTGTTTCCTTATTTACAAACATTCTCACACTTTATCCTTAAAGTATACCAAAGTATGTGTCTGGCTTCTTATTGCAGAAACTAGATCAACATAAATAGTTAAGTTGGGAGTGATAAATAATAGGCGAGCACAGCCTTAATTTAATACAGTACCTGTGTGAGAAACCCTCTGTTTGTACCCCGTAGCCTTCACTGTTGTGTTTGTGCAAATTGGAAAATTACTATACCCAAGCCACCATGTTATATCGCTGTTTACAATTGGACAATGAAATCCGGGAAGGTCAATAAGCTTAATTTTCTAGTATTTTCATATTTTCCTGCCACAGGCTCAGTACGTAGGTTTTAATTATTCCTGGAAGATCAGAAGGTTCCTTCTCACCTGGCCTCCATGTTAGCATTTCTGAATTTCTGTGGTCTATCATTGTGGGTAATTGATGGACCAAGGGCAGACAAAACCTTACTGCTTGTTGGGTTGTAGGTCGTTGGTACTGTATCAAACTTTTCTTTGGTTCAGAGTTTAGCTTTTCATGTTATGGGATTATCACCATTGGGCCTGTCTCCCAAATGGCTGTTCGCTATCAACAATTAAGGTACAGGTCAGCAGTGTGCTAGAATACTCTCCATTTGTCTGAATGAGAACAGCTCCAATGACACACAAAGATCAACACTGTCCAGGATTGAACATCACACTTGGGTGGCACTACATCCACGCCCTTGAACATTCACACCCTTCACCACTGATGCATAGTGGCAGTATCATCCCCAAGATAAGCTGCAGCAACTCACCCACACTCCTTCAACAGCGCCTTTCAAACCTGGTACCTCTGACTTGGGATTATATCACTGTTCCTTCACTGTCATTGTGCTAAAATCCTGAAGCACCCTCTCTAACAGCACTGTGAGCATTTCTTTACCTTGAGGACTGTAGCTGTTGCAGAAAGCAGTGCAGCACAGTGATCCAGTGGTTAGCACTGCTGCCTTAAAGTGCCAGGGACCCATGTTTGAGTTTAACCTCAGGCGAGGTCTATGTGGAGTTTGCACATTCTGCATGGATTTCCTCTAGGTGCTCCAGTTTCCTCCCACAGTTCAAAGATGGGTGGGTTAGGTGAATTAGCCACGCTAAATTGCCCATAGTGTACAAGGATGTTCAGGCTAGGTGGATTAACCATGGGAAATGCATGGTTACAGGTAGGAGCTGGGTCTGGGCAGGATGTTCTTTGGACGGTCACTGTGGACTTGATGGACTGAATGGTGTACTTCCACGCTGTAGGGATTCTATGATTCAATGATGATAATTCTAACGCAGCTCACCACCATCTTCTCAAAGGCAATTAGTGACAAACAATGGCCAGGCAATAGCCCACATCTCATGAGTGAATGAAGAAATGACAAGAAGGACCCACCTGATATTTGTAATCTCTGATAGACTGGGAAGATTAAAAACAGGATGTGTAAACTCAGCTTCACATCAGGAGGAGAAAAGTAATCAGATGTGACACGTGGTCTATTTTCTTATCTCATAACAGTATCTCTCAAAGTTACTGGTCCTCTAAAGACAGTAACTGTATAGTCCACTGGAGACTGTCAAATATCTTTTATATTCATTAGATATCTGCACCTCAGACAGGTCTAGGAGGAAGGCACATCTACCTTGCTGACAGTAGAGTGTGAATAGACTTTGGAGCTGTTGGTAATTTGAATTACCAGCAGATTTGAGGCGGTATGCATCTCCTAATGCACTCAAATGACAAACACAACATGCTCCTAAAATGGGTCAACTTATTGAGAATGGTAAAGTTGTAGACTGTGCTTAGTGCCAAGATCCAAGTTAAAGCAACTGCACATCAATGTTACAGTAATGGTGCTAATCCACTCTGGTCTTTAATGGAAATGTTCCTTAATCATTCATTTTTTTTAGAAACAGACTTTATCTTTGGAAGATCCAAATTTTAGATATTGTCTTCCATATCTTTAATCTAAATTAATCCACCTGCTAATCCCAACAGACACATCCTTTGCTACAGCAGAGATAAAATGTGGCTGATCAGATCAAGAAGCTGAGAAATTGAGGCATATTTAAAACCTAATGTACTGAACCTAGTTGCTATGGAACTGGAGGTGCATGGGATTTTACATTTATAGGTTTATCACCAACTTATTATTTCAACAAGTCTTCAAAGCTCATTGGAGTTATTTGTTACTGTCAAGATGTCATTGCAAAATAACAAGGACATTATTTACAAATGGCATAACTTTAGTTAATACGCATGCAGAAAACCTGACTACGTTATACCTGACTACAATTTTGTAGTGCCTCTGGTATCTTTAAGTTGGAGATGTGAATTTGGTACAGTCTGTTGTATATTCTTATTTGTTGTAAAAATACCAGCCACACAACAAGGATTTGTAAAACAATAATGTGGGATTTTGTTTGAAGATAAGATTACACACGGATCATGGTTACTGGGAAGTTAAGTGAAATAACTCCACAGAGGCCAGTATCCCATCACCAAGTCATCCTTTCTTTACACTTGTGTGGTAGTTGACACTGACCCAGCTAGCTCAGAGCTGGCCCCGAGGGTAAACAGAACTGCTGGCACTCCTGTTTATATCTGTCAGTGAGGGCTCCCTGATTGGACCAGTTTAACAGCCCCCATCAGGGAATTCATATTCTATGAGGTCAACCTGGCTCACCTTATTCCATTCACTATATCCCTCTCCTTCTAAATCCTGGAACATAGACTCATTCTTTTTCATGTAGCTTCTCCTGGGGTGTTTCCGCACCAGTTCCGGGTCCTGTGACTCTGTCTCAGATACTGTATCAGACTGTAGCCCACCTCTTGAGCCTGTTGTGCCCAGGATTGTCCCGAGGCTTTGCTCGGGACAATCACTCTTGCTCCCCATAATAATATGCCATCCTCGGTAGTGATCTGATCTTGCCAGGGCCAGAAAGGTTTCAGTTCTGGTTGTGATGGCCCTTTCATTTCCCCCAACACCACAGGCTATTTTAGTTTTGTGAGGACGCGATTTTTTTTGTGTACACAGTGTGATATTGTCAGCGATGACCAGAAGGGTATCCAGAAAGTTTGAAATCAGAATGGGCTCTTCTAGTGGTGGCACCACAGGTAGTGTATCCACCAGTGGGAGGTGGCACAAGGCATCCACATTTGCCACTTGGCCTTATGGATGGTGTTCCAATTTGTAATTGTATGCACTCAGAATAAGAACCCACTGCTGAATTCGACCTGAAGCTGTGGGCGGCATGACCCCGTTCCCTTTAGGTAGCCCTAGCGGGGGTTTGTGGCCCGTTACTATTACAAATTTATAACTTTAAAGGTACAGGTGGAACTTTCTCACACCAAAGATGACCACCAAGCCTTCCTTCTCTATCTGGGCATATTTGTGTTTGGCATCAGGCAAACTCTGGGAAGCATATGCTATCATGAGCAAACTCTACCCCAATACCCTACCGGGAAGCATCGCATGTAAGCACCACATCTCGCTTGGGATCATAGTGTGTCAATATTTCAGACGACAATAGCTGCTTCTTCACTTCCCTCAAGGCTACATCTTGGCTATGAGACCATTTCCAAGGCTGACCCTTTTTCAATAACAGATGTAAGGGTGCCAAGATGGAGGCCAGGTTATGTATGAATTTTCTGTCATAATTCACCAACCCAAGGAAAAACCGGGGCACCTTTGATCGTCCTCACTTTATCCTCCAATGGGTGTAACCAGGTCTCATCGATTCTGTAGCCAAAGCAGGTCACTTGGGGTGCCTGGAACACAGATTTTTCCCTCCTAAGGTGTACACCCCTTTGGAGAAACATTTAAGCACCATGTCCAAGTTCTCTAAATGCTCTTTATTGGTCTTCTTGGTTTTAGCATATCATCCAGATATATGGCGACCCAGGGTAGATTTTGTAAAATGTATTCCATTCTCTGCTGGAAAATAGCATAGGCTGATGATAACCCAAAAGGCAGACTGAAATATTGGTACAAACCCTTATGGGTATTAATTGTAGCATAATTCTGGGTATCCTCATTTAACCAAAATTGCAGGTACGCATGGCTCATGTCCAGCTTCATGAAGGACAGCCCTGCTGCCAGTGTTGTGTATAAGTCCTTTATGTGAGGCATTGGGTATTTATCCAGCTGCAAAAAAGTGGTTTACCTTTTGCAAAGGTGAACCAACTCATCAGGCTTCACAATCGGTGTGACTAGTGCTGCCCATTCCAGAAACTGCACCAGTTTGATGATTCCTTCACATTCACCCTTCAGATTTCTGCCTCTACTTTTGCCCATAAGACAAATGGCACTGGACGGGTCTTGCAGAATTGTGGAACTGTTTCTTGGTCAACATGTAAGGTGACCTTGGCCCCTTTGATAGTCCCTAGACCTTCTGAAAAACTTCTGAGTATTTCATTAGGACTTCACTCAGGCAGCCATTTTCTGATCAAAAAATGTTTAGCCAATCAAGTTGAATTTTTCTCAACCAATTTCGCCCCAACAAGCTTGGGTCTGAGCCTTTTACTACAATCAGTGGTAACTGAACCAACTGCTTCTCATAAGAGACCAGAACCGAAGTGGTACCGTTAATCTGTAGAGGCTCCCCGGTATAGGTTCTCAGCCTGGCCGAGGTTATGCGAACTTAAGGGCTGGAGTCCAGAGCAAATTTTGGTAAGGACTGGTTCCACAATCACTAATACAGCCATGCCACAATTGACCTCCATTAGAACTGGATGACCATTTATCCAGATATTATTTAGATTGGTTCTGATTTGGATGTCGCTAAGCAATTTAACTGATCCAAACCAGCTGTATACTGGTATCCAGGTGTGCACTCTCCTGGATACCAGTCTATGAGTTCTCTTACTCAATTCAGGCCTAGTAGGACTCTTTTCCTGTTTCTAGTCCACATACTGGCAACAACTAAAATGGCTTGCTGACTTAGATCCTGAAGAAAATTTTAATCATTTGACCGAAGCTTGGCTTTGTTTTCAGGTTTTGCTGTAGGTTGACATTGAGTCCCTCTGTTCAGGATATGTCCTGAATGAGGCTATGCAATTGCCTTCACACAAGTGGTGTTCCCCAAGCTCAGTTGGCCTGGCGAGGGTGTCCACTTCCATTGGAATACCCTGTAAGTCATGTGCTCTACTTGCCTTGTCACATTTCCTAGAATTAGAATTAGGTTTATTGAATTAAAATTAGGTTTATTGTCTAATGCCAAAGCCAGTTGTTGTGCCTGAAGTCCAGTTGGGTTTCAGCTAGTAGGCACTTTTGCATGGTCACATCATTAATCTCAAATACCAAACAGTCTCTCAGCATCTCACTTAGGGTTAAATCCAATATCACATGCCTCTGCCACTCGTCTTAACCTCATCAAAAATCCTGATACAAATTCCCCTGGTTCTCAAACTGTTGAGTAAAATTGGTAGTGTCTCAGAATTAGAGGAGGCTTGGGTTCATAAATCCATCAACTCTTGAAAGGTTTTAGTACATGGTGCCTCTGGGAAAGTTAAACTCCTAATAACTGAAAGAGCTGCGGGTCCACAAGGTGTCAGAGGAATTGCTCATTGCATTTCATCTGCCCCAATGTCATTTGCCTGGAAAAAATAACGCATTCCGTCTTCATACTGGGCTCAGTCTTTGACGGGAATGAGTAAGTCAAGCTTCCCAAATAACGGCATGATTCCAGAAATGATTACCCCAACTCAAAGACGACTGTTGCAAGCAAATCTCTTCAAAGGCATGTTTTGTTTTTGTCGCTACTGAAATAATTCTATGAAGGCTGATGTCCCATCCATCAAGTCATACTTTATTTACATGTGATTAGCACATGACACTGATACAGCCAGCACAGAATTGGCTCCAAGAGTGAACGGAACCCTTGACACTCCTGTTTATATCTGTCAACCAGGGCCCCCTGATTGAACCAGGTTAAAAACCCCAATCAGGCAACTCGTATTCTCTGATGTCCACCTGGCTGACCTCATTACAATCACTACACTGTGTTGAAACATCTGACCTGCAGCACTGCTGTTGTATTCTGTCTGGAGAGTGCCTGGGATTATTGGTCACATCCTGCTGTGTGGTAGCTAGTGATTGACAGTAGTTTAAGATATGTCACTTCGAGTTAGATCTATCTCACATGAAATTTTGAAGTTGTGATTAATGCATTCTACTGATCAACATGCACTTTCTCTTTGTTATTGATTGAGTGAGTTTAGTGGAAAACCAAAGATCTGCTCGTTTGCTTTTCCTCAGATCAATGCTCGCACAGAACTAGCTTTGAGATACAACGACATCTCTCCACTGGAGAACCATCATTGTTCTGTGGCCTTTAAGATCCTAGAAAAGGTAACTTGGCATCAAACCCTAAGAAAGTCATAGGTTAAAAGCCAAATTAAATGTATTAGACAAATTAAGTTAAATTTAAAACATGTTTCAGGACATTATTTTCTGTACCTTGCAAATATGTATCCATATGTTTAAAGGAGAATTTAGGTTGGCTGTAGAGACCTTCAACAGAAGGCAAAAGTCTACCATTATGCCATTGACATAGTGGTATTTGGTTATTGACAATTACGTATTTCAATGCCTTTATATTTGTTTAATGTCATAATGGTGAGTACAAGCAGAATAGATTCAGTATCACTGCTCTCATGGCATATTTCTTTCTCCTTGTTCCACTTCATCATGAAATATGGTACTTGGTAAGCATCCACCAGAACCCCATCATTACTTTTGCCTTCGCTGACCATTCATCACACGACCCTGTGCTTGGACCAATTAGGAACACCACCTGCAAGTTCCTTTGCAAACCACTCACTATAGTGTCTTTGGAAAAAGGAACATCATTCCTTCACTGTCACTGGCTCGGATTCCTGGAATTCCCTCCTTAACAACATTTGTTGGCTGACCTCGTTATAATCACTACAGTGAAGAAGGCAGATGGGATGCTTGTCTTCATTAGCCGGGGTGTAGAACATAGGAGCAAGGAAGATTCAACGCATCATTCTCCGCCACTTCCACCACCTACAATCTGACCCCACTACGAAGGATATATTTCCCTCCCCACCCTTATCTGCCTTCCGTGGGGACCGCTCCCTCTGCGACTCCCTCATCTGCTCCACACTCCTCACTAGCCCCACCACCCCTGGCACTTTTCCCTACAACCGCAGGAAGTGCTACACCTGCCCCTACACCTCCCCCCTCACCTCCATCCTAGGCCCCAAGAAAACCTTCCACATTAAACAGATGTTCACTGCACATCTGCTAACGTGGTCTATTTTATCTGCTGTTCCCGATGTGGCCTCCTCTACATCGAGGAGACCAAGCGGAGGCTCGGAGGCCGCTTTCTAGAGCACCTGCGCTCTTTCATGACAAACGACAACACCTCCCAGTCACGAACCACTTCAACTCCCCCTCCCACTCCCAGACGTCATGTCCATCCTGGGCCTCCTCCAGTGTCACAACGATGCCACCCGGAAACTGGAGGAACAGCACCTCATATTCCGCCTTGGAACCCTACAACCCAATGGTCTCAATGTGGACTTTACTAGCTTCAAAATATCTCCACCCCCGGCCTCATCCCAAGACCAGCCACCCCCCATCCCTGCCTCCTTGACCTGTCTGTCTTCTCTCCCACCTATCCACTCCTCCCACCTCACTAACCAACCCCCATTCCCATTTCCTACCTACACTCACCTCTACCGGCTTCATCCCCGCCTCCTTGACCTGTCCGTCTTCTCTCCCACCTATCTGCCCCTCCCTCCTCACTGACCAACCCCCATCCAAACTTCCTACCTACACTCACTTTTACTAGCTTCACCCCCCCTCCTTGACCTGTCCGTCTTCCATCCCACCTATCTGCTCCACTATCCACCTTCTATCACCGCCACCCCCTCTCTATTTATTTCAGACCCCCCCTTCCCCTCCCCCATTTCTGAAGAAGGGTCCAGACCTGAAACGTCAGCTTTCCTGCTCCTCTGATGCTGCCTGGCCTGCTGTGTTCCTCCAGATCCACACCTTGTTATATAGGAGCAAGGAAGTCTTGTTACAACTTTATAAAAATTTGGTTAGGTTACAGATGGAATACTGTGTGCAGTTCTGGTCACGACACTATCGGAAGGATCAATTACAATTTTCAAGACAGATAAATATATGTTTGTTATGGAAAGACCAATAGAATTGAAGTACAGATCAGCCATCATATAACTGCAGAATGGGCTCGGGTGCTGAACAGCCTTCTGCTCCTTTGATGCTGCTTGGCCTGCTGTGTTCATCCAGCTCTGCACCTTGTTGTCTCGGATTCTCCAGCATCTGCAGTTCCTACTATCTCTCGTTCCTATGTTTGCTTCTGTATTGCTAAGTTCTATAAAGTACTCAAGTTCACTTTTTGACAGTAATAACTGACAAATTTCCAGATGTTAAAAAAACAAGTTTACTGTTCTGACTTCGTCAAAGTTGACCTGTGAATAAAACCTATCCTGATAATATAGAATTAAATATTTCATAAAAATATAACTTTTAAAAAACAAAGTGTGCTTTCCTCTGCATGTTCTTGGGATGTGGACATCGCTGGCTGGCCCAGCATTTATTGTCCATCCATCCATGGATGATCCATAGCTTCCATTCAAAACAGCCTTTCAAAGTATTAATTTAAATTGTTTTGCTTGAATGAAATCATCAAAATGTACACGGTATAACTGGTTAGGAAGTGGTGGCCATATAAAGTTGGCTACAAAGCGTAGCTAAGGATAACTTATCCAATTTGTGTGTTCCCCAAAAGGACATCACAAAATTTACCTAATTTGTGATTTCTTTCTAAATACTCATTCTGTACTTTTTTCTCAAATCTGTTTACATATTTATTTTGTGATGCATGTGCAATTGGATGTCCCAATTGAATAGCAATTAAATAGGTTAAACTTGCCTTCAATATATGATATTTAGCATTATCCAGGATTTTACTTAGCCTTTTGTGGACTATCTTGTTTGATTCTAATCATTTCAGGAATCATATCTGTGAATTCAGATATTTTTATTGATGTTTGGGGATCATAATCTGTGATCTGTCTACTTTTATTAGCATTTTGTAAATATTATCCTGTGATTCCATCCTTTTTTTTGTGCATACTAAAATCAGTGACTTTGCACATAATCGTTTGACAATGCCAGTGCTATTGCTGAGTTGTTTCTTGGTTATAATTGATGATTAACATTTAGTAAATATTTGTTTTATTCCTGGCACCTACAGCCTGAAAACAACATATTCCGAAATTTGACAACTGAACAATTTAAACGGATTCGAGAAGGAATGATAAAGTAAGTATTAACATTCGCCCTGGGAGATGAGTTTTTTTTGTGAATTATTCATAACATAACCACTGGGTGGCTTGAGAGCTCTTTGCTGATATCATCGAGCACAGCCAAATGAGAAATGTGAAGAATATTATTTTACAATCAAAGCATAAGAAGGTTCATAATTGGCAGTTTCATTTGTACCCTTTTACAAGGGTCTTGTACAGTAGAGTCATAGAGTCACACAGTATGGAAACAGACTCTTCGGTCCAGCCTGTCCACACCGACTATGTTCCAAACTAAACTAGTCTCATCTGCTTGCACTTGGCCCAAATCCCTCCAAACCATTCCTTTTCATGAGCTTATCTAAATATCTTTCAAATGTTGTAACTGTACCTGCATCCACCACATTCTCTGGCATTTCATTCCACACACGAACCACTCTGTGTGTAAAAAAGTTGTCCCTCATGTCCCTTTTAAATCTTTCTCCTCTCACCTTAAAAATATGCTCCCTAGTTTTGAACTCCACCACCCTGGTGAAAAGACCCTTGTCGTTCACCTTATCTGCACCCTCATGATTTTATAAACCTCAATAAGGTCACCTTCAACCTCCTATGCTCCAGCGAAAATGGTCCAGCCCTTCCAGTGTATTTTTATATCTCAAATCCTTCATTTGTGGCAACATCCTGGTAAATCTTTTCTGAATCTTCTCTAGTTTAATAATATTCTTCTGATAACAGGGCAACGAGAACTGCACACAGTATTCTAGAAGAGGTCTCACCAATGTCCTGTAAAATCTCAACATGAAATTTAAACTCCTGTACTCAAAGATTGAGCAATGAGTCATTGAGTCCTACATAGAATTTAGCAGATATTCAGGGACTGCAGTCCCCTGGATCCTAGAAACATCACCCCAGTTCTTATCCACAGATATATCACCAATTTTTTTTACAAACAATAAGTTTCACCAAGTCAGCCCTACCCCTGTGTATTTTCCTGTCTTACTCAGATACAGCAAGCAATTATCCCTGTGGGCTTTCAGCCCCAATTCTCTATTGTACTGAACTATTCATGACACATGGTATCTTCTGAGCTCTGTCTCTGTCATTTTATTGTACCTAATTACTTCTAGGACTTCCTTCTGAGTGAATTTGAACTTTTTCTCCAGGATTAAATATCACCAAGACTTAATACTAAAAGAAACTTATGGTCAAGGTCGAACACCCTTAACAGATCTGCAGGAAACTGCTATCCTTACCTGGTCTGGCCTACATGTGACTCCAGACCCACAGCAATGTGGTTGACTCTTAACTGCCCTCTGGGCAATTAAGGATGGGTAATAAATGCTACATAGCCAGCGACACCCTCATCCCGTGTATGAATAAAGAAACAAAATCAAACTGAATATTCCATAAAACTCTAAGACCATGAGACATAGGAGCAGTTGCAGGCCATTCAGCCCATTGAGTCTGCTCTGCCATTCATTTAGATCCTGGCTGTTCCTCAACTCCATTTTCCTGCCTTATCCCCATAACCCTTGAGTCCCTTACTGATTAAAAATTAGTCTATCTCAGCCTTGCACATACTTAATGACCCAGTCTTGACAGGCCTCTGCATTGACGAATTCCAGACATCACTAACCTCTGAGAGAAAAATATTCCTCATCATCTCTGTCTTAAATAGGTGGCCCCTTACTGTGAGATTAATCTCTCTGTTGCTGGACTTTCCCAAAGGAGAAACAACCTTTCTGCATCTACTCAGACAAGCCCCTTAAGAATCTTATATGTTTCTCATTCTCCTAAACTCTAATGTGCAAGCTCAACCTACTCAACTTCTCATAATTGTGTTCATCTTTAGTTAAATAAAAAACTTGTTTCTTTCAAACATCTTCTTCCTGCAACATTTGTACCCTGTCAGTTAAATGCCTTGATCAGCAGACAATAGTGAAAGGAAGCATGATATCAAAGGAAAATTGGAAAGAGGGTCTTGCTTGGATGAGTTAGGGTCTGATTCCCATTGCCTCATTCCACAGTCCAAGAAAATGTTCCTGAGCCTTTCTGTGATAATCCAGCCTCTCCTTCGCTGGTAATGCAACCTTATTTTACTCTCCCACTGACCCGTAAACTGCTTGTTGGGAAATTGGGAACATTGCAAATTATGTGTATGTGGCCCTGTGCCCAATTTGTCACTCCTGAACACCCTGCCATGCCCTGAAAGGCTGCATGCTGTATGCAGATTCTCAGAACATTTATCTCCATCTCATCACTCAATTACATTTTAAAACTGCTGCATCACATCAGCTGGAAATTGATGTGTATATTATTATTCCCAGGTCCTCTCCAAACCTGTAATTCAGTTGTATCATTGCAGTTCTGTGTTCCATATCTTTCATTTTATCCTTTAACTTTGTTGGTTGAAATTTGATTTTCAAATGCCGTATGTCAGCCCAATTGCATATATATTATTGATATTTTGCCTCGTTTATTCACTGCTGTTTATTGTGTTGTCACCAAATTTGGATTTCTAATACTTTCAGACAGAGTGAACGCTGCTTGATAGTACTTAGTAATCTGTCTTGAGAGATGTTGAAGGAAAGCAGAACAGAGACTGCAGAGATGCTGCAAAACTCTTAGTGCTGCACAAAAGCAGCTAAATCACTTCAAGTTTAGAAAAATAAAAATCATTATTGCCTAATGATTGAAGAACTGTCTTATAAACTGTTATGACCAGGTGAGGAAGGGTAACCAGCTCCTCTCATTTTAATCTCCTTAATTGGCCTCAAAAATAATTAAAATTCTTTTCCAATATGAGGCTTTCCCTGTCTTTACTAAAAATGTAACAATGCCCACTGTATCAGTAAGGAACCAATTACAAGACTTTCTTGTGTAGAGAAAGGACATTCTTTTATCTGCTAATCTTGAGAAAATGTCTTATATTAGAGGGGCATGTATTTAAGGTGAGAGGGGCAAAGTTCAAAGGAGATGTGAGGGGCAAGTTTCTTACACAGAGAGTGGTAGGAATCTGGGACGTGCTGCCGGGGGTGATGGTGGAGGCAGATACGATAGGGGCGTTTAAGGAGCTTTTAGACAAGCACATGAATATGCAAGCAGTGGAGAGATGTGGACCAAGGGCCGGCAGAAGGGATTAATTTGGTGTCATGTTTAGCACAACATCGTGGCACAACACCAAAGAACGGTTCTGAGGAAGAGTCACCAGACCCGAAACATTAACTGTTTTTTCCTTCACAGATGCTGCCAGACCTGCTGAGCTTTTCCAGCAACTTTGTTTTTGTTCCTGTGTTATACTGTTCTATGTTCTAAAATATTAATGACATGACATCAATGATACATACACATAGATACAAAAATTAAAAAGGATAAAATCCAGTTCAAAAGGAAGATGAAAAAATACAGTTTAAAAACCTTACAATGTCCTTTGCATAGAAATGTTTAACTTAAGACCATGGCTGTTTAATTGATGTCTTGGATCCTCAACAATAACCAATATTTCAGTTGTTCTTTGAGTTTGTGGGGTGCTGATGTTTCTTTTTAACCATTTCGGTCATCAAGCACTTTTCCTTCTTGAGTCGCTGAGAATCAGTGAGCTTCTTCAATTTTGCAGTCACAAATCCAACCCCCTCCTGTTCAGCCACAAGCAGTTCTCTGAAATATAAGCTGGTTTACGTATTTTAATGTCTGAGTTCACTATTTAAAAGTTTGATAAAGCAGGTTATGTCTTTTATCTCTAAAATGTGAAACCTGCCATAGAGATGTGATTCAAAGTAGGAGATGAGAGCCTTTCCATGCCTGGTGGGGTGCACAAGTTTCAATGTCTTTTCACAAAATATTAGTTTCAGTTCAAGACGATTTCAATTATTTCACGTTGATTTCCTGAAACTTGACTACCCTGTGTGGTTAAATACTTGCTCTGGATATATTGTGTCAGTGTTATTTTCCCATTTTAAAGTGATTTCAACCCATGAAAGTATCCAGTTATTAAAATAAGATATGGACTTTGAAAATCATTAGTCCATATTTTATCAGTATCACAATAAAACCAACATGGCTTTAATGAAAAAACGATTCAAACAAATAGTAACTCCTGTCTGTACATATCTACGTGATAAATTAATTCTTAATACTCTATGTAATCTGCTAGGTTTATGGGTTGGCAGTAGAGAAACCTTGTCTGTTCCTATCACATATCAGAAAATCACATGCAGCACATGATGTTGCTGGTGGGCAAGGTTCCTGTCTGCATTCGGAAATAGGCACCTATGGGCAGGTATGAGGAGGTATACTTCTGTAGGCCCTTGAACTAATGTCAACTTTATCTTCCTTTAGGTGTGTTCTTGCCACAGACATGACTCGTCATAATGAGATTCTGAATCAGTTCAGATCCATTGTGTCAGTATTTGATTTTCACAACAAAAACCACAAGGACATTGTGAGTACCAAGTTATTTCAGGCACGCTCTTAGAGTTGCTGCCACACAGTCAATCCATTTGCTGTACAGCCTAAATGAATGAGATATTGGAATGGATCACACTTATCATTATCTGTATTATCCAAGGGTGAAAGTTGAGCTCTATATAGAGTCTATTACCCATGCATATAATGTAGACAATTAGAAACTGGAACACCGCTGGCCTGTAAACAGGGTATGTGTAAAGCTTATTTAAATGAAGAGGCCTCTTCAAATAGAAATGAATAAGAAAAGCAATTAATCAAAATGATGGTACAAGAAAAGTGAAGTTTGATTAGTAAACATAAAGCAATATGCATTTCTCCGCTGTATCCTGGCCTTCAGAAATGTATGAAAACATATACTTTTAGTATAGGAGCATTCCATATGCCTTTGTTTTAAATGAATTTGGGTTCCTCTCAGAAACTCATTTCTCACAATATAATTATCCAACTTTCAGGCAAGATTGGGTTATGAGCTTACACAAAGCTCATTAGACTTTGAAAATGATCAAGTTAAACAGCCGTTGTAATGCAGCTGGAATACACTCACTCCAGCCACACAGCCCATATCTGGGCACTGAAGGGAGGCCTCAATAAAACCTATTATCCATGCTCTGGGCCTTAAGCTCACTTTATCATCTCTGACCCCTGTGTCTGGTGTCTTCACGGTGCAATATCCAATGCCACTCTCCCCACCATGGAAAATTGTAAAATTAGAACGGCAAATGGCAAATTGGCCCTTAATGAAAGAGGATTGGTACACAGGAATAAGGATGTCTTGATGCAAATATGCAGGGATTTGGTGCAACCACACCTAGAATACTATGTAAGTTTTAGTCTCTATACGTAAGGAAATATTTAATCCATACTATATTGGAGGTAGCACAATGAAAGATTAATAAATTGATTCTAGAGATTGAGACCTCATCCGATGATGATATGGTGAGAAATTGGGTTGATATTCTGTGAAGTTTAGAAGAATGAGAGTTATCTTATGAAACGTACAAGATCCCAAAGGGGATTGTCAGGATAAAACTGAAACTCAGCTAGACTCACCACATCAACACAATGGCTACAAGAGCAGGTCAGAGGCTAGGAATACTGTGGTGAGTAACTCACTTCCTGATTTTCCAAAGCCTGCCCACCATCTACAAGGCACGAGTTAGGACTGTGATGGAAAACTCCCCACTTTTCTGGATGGGTGCAGCTCCAACAACACTCAAGAAGCTCGACACCATCAGGACAAAATGGCCCGCTTAATTGACACCACTTCCTCAAGCATCCACTTCCTCCATCACCGGGGCTCAGTAGCAGCAGTGTGCCATACACAAGATGCACTGCAGAAATTCACTAAAGTTCCATAGACAACACCTTCCAAATCTACCACCACTTCCAACTGGAATGAAAGGGCCAGCAGATACATGGGAACACCACCACATGCAAGTTCCCCTCCAAGCCACTCATTCCTCCTGACTTGAAAAACTATGATCGTTACTTCACTGTGACTGGATCAACATCCTGGAATGCCCTCCCTAAGGACATTGTGGGTCAACGAATAGCACATGGATTGCAGCAGTTCAAGAAGGCAGCTCAACCACCACCTTCTCAAGGGCAACTAGGGACGGGCAATAAGTGCTGGCTAGTCAGCAATATCCACATCTAATGAGTGGATTAAAAAAACCATGACTGTTTGGAGGGATGAGAATGTGCTATCATTTAACATATTTAAGACAGAGATCACACGTTGAATCAAGAGCTATATGGAGAGTGGGAAAGTAAAGCTGAGGCAGAAGATTAGCCTTCATCATATGGAATGGCACAGGAGGCTTGGGTGACTATCTTGATTGCTAGAGATAAAGCAGTGTTGTGCTGGAGGAGCACAGCAGGCCAGGCAACACTAGAGAAGCAGGAAAGTTGACATTTCAGTTCGGAAATGACCCAAAATGTCAACTTTCCTGCTCCTCTGATGCTGCCTGGCCTGCTGTGCTCCTCCAGCTCCACACTGTGTTATCTCTGACTTCAGCATCAGCAGTTCTTACTATCTCTAAATTGATTGCTGCTATTTCTTGACCTGCTCCTGTTTCTCATGTTCTTATATTCCTATTTCCTCAGCTTGCTTTTTCTCTACCCCTGTGTGGTACATATGTAGGAGAGGAGGTTTAAACAAAGAATGAGTGTGCCTGACCCCTTCAGATGAAAGAGATAATGAATGGTGAGGAAGCATTTGGCTCTCTGCTGCTTCACAGGGATGCCATGCTATTGGTTTTGTCTACAACTTGCACTGTCCCAGTGATCACACTTCTCCCACAGTTAAATGGAATACTTCCCCAGCAACATTATAGCCTGTTTCTCATAGGGTGGTATGAGGAGCGCTGTGTTATTTTGTGTGATTCCCTGTGTTTCCCTGTCTTGGCAAAGTGCACACATTTCTCCTGCAACAAGTTTGAGGACCTGAGATTCAAATTAGCCTTTGAGAATGTTGAATGGTCATCATGCAATAGAAATAATAAAAATGTTGGTAGCATGCTGTTGAATTGGAGGAAGGAATTCACTCCAGTGATGCATATTAGGGGATTTTGCACACAATTTTGTTGATAATAGAATTATTGAGCTCCTGAATCACAGTGCAGTCTGAAGGTTGACTTGTATAGCTCTTGATTAATGAAGTGGAACATTATGTTGGTGTCAAAAAAGACGAATAGACAGTAACTGCTGTAGCCTGTTAGGAATCGAGAATGAGCACACCATGCCTCTGTCACATTCTTCTCCATGGTTTGTTTCAGGTTTCCTCCCATGAACATTCGGCCGGCATTGTCTCCCTCTGAATATTTATCTCACTGACATTTCGTACTCTTTCCTGCATCTTTCCAATACTCTGCAGCCTTCTTCACATGCCTCTTTCATTTGAAGCTGTTTTATGAGATCTTACTTGAGCCCTCCATTACACTACAAATAAACCCAGATTTGTAAAATCTTCATTACTTACTGGCTGCACAACATTTCCAAATATCTCATGTCCTCTCCTCCAGTGAAGTTCTCTTAGGCCACATGCCTACTACATTCACCTACTGGGCATGTAATTGATTTAATGTTGCCATAGATCGTTGAGTTAACGCTTGATCTGATTCTTAAGAGGAAGGCCTACTCTGGTTGTATGCCATTGGATTAATGGTCAGTGGGAGTCAATTAAGTGAATTGATACAATTATAAATTGTTGACCTGGGGAACAGTGCATGTATCTTCTGATCAGGGGGAGGTAAAGCCTTAAAATCTTAATCTAACTTGAGGTTACTTAAAATCTTCCTCTCATGCATCATAGTTTAAGTCAAATAGGTTTCTCTTAAATGTTTCTTTTACCATGATATGGGTAGTTTTGGGAAGACTGCATCTACAGCATGTGCCCAGTTGACTTGTGTCTGTACCAGCCTTCTATCTAGCTTATGCATGTCTCAAATCATGTTCAAGATTTAGACAGTGCCCCATGTTCAGTTATGCTGGTGTAAAGAAAATCACTTAAGTTACAAGTCCAACTCTTCATAACTTAGTGGCATGGAGATTTGGAGTTATTTTGGTTTCTCCAATATATCAAGGCCCATTTGAAGTTAGGGCACTCAAGCATTCATGAATTATTCTAAATATAACTTCACAAATGAGCTGCACAATGTTACAATAATGTGTCTTAGTTCCTATTGAGCTGTGTTCAAGTTATATTCTAAAAATTGATGAGCTTTCTTGGCAACACCTTCACATTCACATTATTTTAAATTTATCAATTTTAAATCCATCTGCTGCTCCCTAATTAGCTGATGAATTTTACTTATTTATGGAATAAGATATTGCTATAAGGAAAAGAAATGTGTTGCAGTAAAGACCGCTTACTTTGTGTCTGTTTTCTTTTCAAAACTTCTGTTTTATGCATATCTGCACCAAATAGAAGGAGAAAAAATAGGCATTGTTGCCTGGCTTCTTCTATGCAATGGGCACATTCAGCCATTCGTTCGGCATCTCTTCCACATTTCACTTTCATTAGCATGAACATATGGCATATTGATATTGTCCATTTTAAACTGTCAGTCAAAATTATGCCCAGTTTTGGGGTTGGAGGGGGCAAGATGAAATGTGTAGAAAATAGCTGTTATTTAGCCGGGATAACTATGATGGAGAGAAACGATTATAAACGAGATACATAGGAAGATATAACCGATTTAAGGAAATGTTTTCTTTCTAGTTATTTCTCAGTTAATTTACATGATTCTTCCAAGATGCAAGGAGTTCAGACTGGAGAGTTGAGGTTCAAGTACTGTACCTGACTCATCTCTTTCTTTAATGTTCATTTTCAACACTTCTCTCTGCTTTTGGTTTTTTTATATATTGGTTCATGGGATGTGGGCATCACTGGCTGGGCCATCATTTATTGCCCATTCCTAATTGCCCTTGAGAAGGTAGTGGTAAGCTGCCTTCTTAAACGGCTGCTGTTGATGTGATATAGGTACATCTTAACCGTGCTGTTAAGGAGGAAAGAAGTTTAACCCAGCAACACTGAAGGAACAACGATATATTACTAAATCATGATGGTGAGTGGATTGGAGGGGAACTTGAAAGTGGTAGTATTTTTATGTGCTTGCAGCCTTTGTCCTTTCAACTCTTTGAGATTATGAGTTTGGAATGTATTTGGATGTTCTCAGCTCCCATATCAAGCATGCAAAGTCTTTTCTGTCTGGTATAAGCAGTAAATGGTCATTTAATGTGCAAAATTTCTAATAAATAAGTTGAAACCAATGCATATATGCAAAATTAAAATGATTTTTTTGTTAATAATTTGAACATTTCAGCTATTTAAGAACATGAAGAACATATAGAATTATGTTTGGTGTCCACACATTTAGCTGGCCACACATTTGTCTGTATACATTGGTAAAAATTGGTTGTGCATGTATATATAGAGAATTCATTTCCAAGAGTCTTACAGCCAAATATCCAGAGAAAATAAAGTAGCCTCAATATTTCCACCTGGTTGCTTTGAACAAAGTAAGTTCAGGCTTTTTAATTGCTGTTTGATTACAGCTTACAATGATTATCATAAAAGTAAGCGACATTTCCAATGAAGCTCGACCCTTGGATGTAGCTGAACCTTGGCTGGATTGCTTATTGCAGGAGTTTTTCAATCAGGTAACCTGAAAATGTTAAACACAGTAGAACCATTCTGTTAAGGATACTGATGCAATGTATTTCAATGGAAATAGAGTGATGAATGGATACTGACATTTCCAGTACACCCTTTTGCCAGAATTGTAGGATGTTCGGAATACTCGTGCTCAAACCTGAATGGATATTAGCAATTCTGTAAGGTTGATTTTCAAACAGTTCAGTTTCCAAGAAAACAAATGATGTCTGCAAGGATTCTGACTTCTTCAGATAGTGGTAGCAGAAGATAATTCTTTGCTCAGGTCCTCAAATACTTTTTAAGAAGATCTGTAGACCAGAGCTGTGGATGTTCTAAGTATAAAGAAATAGTCTATTCTGAATCCACTCTCACTCTGGCTTTGGAGTGGCACTGAATAAATGTGTTAGATTAGAAGTAAGGAAAAATTAAAATGTCGTAAGAGTTGAGCCCACTAAGGAGCCCAACTGAATTGTCAATTATAAAGTTCCAGAACCCTCATGTAATTAATGTTGTCAGAAATACAGTTGGAAACTTCATGTTGTCATTCATACTTTTTTTCTGTTGAAAACATAAAGCTGAGCTGGATCCAAACAATTGACTATTGTGGATTTGGGATTCCCATGGGAAATTTAATTTTAAAAGAATGAGCAGCTCTGAAGAGTTGTGCACTTAAATCTTGTTGTATGCTGTGTTCACAGATTCTGTATTAAAATACACGTTACTGAACGTCTCTTTGCTGTCAGAATATTGTTGAAATTTTGAAGTGTTTTTGAATCCTTAATTTTCACGTAATTCAGTAGCTTTTAGTATTATATCCCAGTCTCTGCCACCTTTGATGCAAATGGATGTTTACATTTGTCTTTGATTGGAAAATAGAAAATAGCTACCTTGTTTGATATATTTAGGATCCTCTATTTGGGATCCTATTTACGAGCACCATCTTGATTGTGGTCTGAAGCATTTAACAACATGGATGGATGGTTTAGAGATTGTTATTGGTTTTTTCACTCTTTATCCTGACCTTGCCATGAGATACAATTTATCTGAACCAATTTAGTTCATGCAACTGGTGATTAATTCCGATAATTGGTCACATATAAATTCCAATAGTTAATTTTTTTAAAAATCAGTTTGAAAACTGACCTCCGTCAATGATTGAGCAATCCTATAAACAGGTAAGAGGCAAAAATACTGCAGATGCTGGAATCCAAGGTAGACAAACAGGAGGCTGGAAGAACACAGCAAGCCAGGCAGCTTCTGGAGGAAAGGAGCAGTCAACCTTTTCAGATATTACCCTTCTTCAGGTCTGGATGTGTGGTTAGGGGGAGCTGCAAATAAAGAGGGGGGTGGGGGGAGGGGTGGAAGCAGAATGGTGGTGATAGTTGGACACTGGTAGTAGGTACGAGCTGGTTGATTGATGGGTAGGATGAATCTGGTTGGTGGCTGGAAGGGAGGGTCAGAAGGTGGAATGGAAGAGAGGAGGTGGGGCTGGAAAGGGAGCTGGGGGTTGGATGAGAAGGTAATTTGAAATTGGAGAACTCAATGTTGAGTCCTCCGGGCTGTAGGGTGCCCAGGCGGAAGGAGGAGGAAGATGGACATGTCGGCGTGTAAGTGGGGCAGGGAGTTGAAATGGGCGTTGACCGAGACTTTAGGTTGGCTGTTATGGGCCAAATGAAGATGCTCAACGAAATGGTCACCTAGTCTATGTTTGGTCTCACCGACATAGAGAAGACCACATCGGGATCACCGGATGCAATAGACCAGGTTGGAGGAGATGCAGGTGAAGCTCTGTCTCACCTGGAAGGGCTGTTTAGGGCCCTGAATGGACGTGAGGGAGGCAGTGTGTGGGCAGGTGTTGCGTTTTTTACGATTACAGGGGAAGGTATCGGACGGGTTGGAGTGATTGGTGGGAAGTGTGGCGCAAACTAAGGAGTGGTGAAGGGAATGGTCCTTGCGGAAGGCAGAGAGGGGTGGGGAGTGAAAGATGTTCCGGGTGGTAGGGTCTAATTGAACATGGCGGAAGTGTTTGAGGATGATATGTTGGATGCGGATGCTGGTGGGGTGGAAAGTGAATACAAGGGGGACCCTATTTTTGTTATGTTTGGAGGGGTGGTGGTTAGGAGCTGTGGTGCAGGGAATGGAGGAGGCATAACAAAGAGGGGAAAAGAGCGTTGCTTGAAAAAAGTGGACATCTGGGATGCTTGGGATTGGAATGTCTCCTCATCAGACAGATGCAACGGAGACAGAGGAATTGGGAAAACGGAATGGAGTTTTTGCAGGATACAGGGTGGAAAGTGCTGCAGTCTAGGTAGCTATGGGAGCCTGTGAGTTTATAGTAAATGTCGGTCCGTAAACTGTCGCCAGAAATGGTCTATTGTGTCCGGTGCTCCCGATGTGGTCTGCTCTACGTCGGTAAGACCAAACATAGACTCAGTGACTGTTTCGCTGAGCATCTTCACCTGGCCCTGTAATGGCCAGCCTAACCTCCCGGTCACCGCTCATTTCAACTCCCTGTCCCACTCCCCCTCTGACATGTCTGTCCTTGGCCTCCTCCAGTGTTGCAGCAACTCGCAACGTAAAACGAAGAACAGAACCTTATCTTCCACCTGGGCACCCTACAGCCCGAAGGACTAAACATTGAGTTCTCCAATTTCAAATCACCTTCCCACCCATTCCCCGGCTCCCTTCCCAGCCCCATCTCCTCCCTTCCATTCCACCTTCTGACCCTTCCTTCCAGCCACCAACTGGATTCGTCCCTCCCATCAACCAACCAGGTTGTACCTACTACCAGTATCCACCTATCACCACCATTCTGCCTCCACCCCTCCCCCTACCTTTATCTGCAACTCCCCCTACCCCCACATCCAGTCCTACAGAAGGGTAATACCTGAAACGCTGACAGCTCCTTTCCTCCAGATGCTGCCTAGCTTGCTGTGTTCTTTCAGGCCCCTGTTTGTCTACCTATAAACAGGTAAAGTTGGGAGGTAAAATCGTTTTCTGTAATTTGGATGGGTTCTGCTCAGAAATATTTTATGGGTTCTATGGCCTATTGGTATTATCGCTAGACTATTAATCCAGAAACTCAGCTCATGTTCTGGGGACCCAGGTTCAAATACAGCCACGGCAGATGGTGGAATTTGCGTTCAATAAAGAATCTGGAATTAGGTGTTTAATGATGACCATAAACCCATTGTTGATTGTCAGGAAGAAAAAATCCTATCTGGTTCTCTAATGTCCTTTAGGGAAGGAAATCTGCCATTCTTACCTGATCTGGCCTACATGTAACTCCAGACCCACAGCAATGTGGTTGATTCTTAACTGCACTCTGGGCAATTAGGAATGGGCAATAAATAATGGCCTAGCCAGAGGCACCCATATTGTGCGAGTGATTAAAAAAAATCCCACTTCACACCTTATTATTCGTCTGCTCAGCAGAACAGAAGGGCTTATGGATTTGTGACTTTTGCAGATAAAAGTTTACTATTAAATTTAATGGATATATATCAAGCACCTGTTTGAACCCAACCCAGTTTGGCAGGAATGGGGGTAGGTTCAGATTAGGCAGCACGTTTTAGATCTCAGTTTATTTTGTTCTCCATTCTAAGATATGTGAACTAATCTCTTTCTGTTCTCCACTGGGTGACTTAGTTGAAAATTGGAGCCACCATGTCATCCTCACTGTTAACAAGTAATTGTGTAAAAAAAAAGCTCTGGATTTGAGTTCTTTTACAATATAGCATCAGGTTACTTTGAGAGAGATGCAGACCCAGATCAATTTGTTATTATGAGGCTATGCAGAACTTACTGGCTGGTTGGCAAAATGCAGTTGTACCCTGGACCAAGGGTTCTGATTCTGTGCTGTATGACTCTATGACTGGTACTGCTGGTTTGGTCTAGTCGTGTGTCCTCTACCTCTGCCTTTAGTGCAGTCTGTGGGAGCCATTAAATACACATCATTTGAAACACTAGCAATTCTGCATTCTAATCTTATGGATATGTTCAAATATTTCTTATAGAGTGACATGGAGAAGCTAGAAGGGTTGCCAGTGTCTCCATTCATGGACAGGGATAAGGTGACAAAGCCATCTTCCCAAACGGGTTTCATCCGCTTTGTATTGCTGCCATTGTTTATTGAACTTGCAAATCTGTTCCCCAATTTGGAGGTGAGTCATTTGTCCTTCCTGCTATCTTTTCAAAGTAGACATTGCCATGTCATGTGACTTGTCCATAGGCACTTCCTTTCAATGGTAGGGAACTGCATATTTCATCATACTGGTCATACAGAGAAGAAGGTTCCATAGGTGTAATAGCCAGAATACATATGTTGCAAATCCAGTTTATGTCTTAAAAACTCAACTGATAAATTGTAATATAATCCTATATGAATACCTAAAAAATAGGAGGAGGAGTAGGCTATTTGGTTCATTGAGCCGTTGGCATTTTCCCTACTATTGATGTTCTGTAATTCCCTGTTTCCCTCCTCCCTCCTTCTTGAAATAATCGGCTTATATTTGGCATCCTCTGATTTGCCAGGTACGCTTGCTACAAATAGAATGTGCATTCCACCCCGTTAGAATGTTACCAAAATCATCTTTCAAAGATTCTTTCCTTTTACATGGGATTTGGGCACCATTGTCAAAACCAGCATTTTGTTAGCCATCTTGAACTGAATGGATTGCTAAGCCTTTTCAGAGGGCATTAAGAGCCAGCCACATTTCTGTGGGTCTGGTGCCACATATAAGACAGAATGAAGAAAAATGGCAGATTTCTTTCCCTGAGGGATGAGAGTTACCTGATTTTGGCAGTCAATAACAGTTTCATGGCATCACTACTGAGACTAATTTTATATTTCAGACTTATGAATTGAATTAATAACGATGGTAAGATTAAAACTGATGTTTCCAGAGCATTAGTCTGGACCATTTTAATTACTGGTTCAGCCATGGTGCCATCTTCGCCTCCCTAGTCTCTGGTTTACTCATTGGAGTTCCCCTTTGGAGACCTGAGACTATGATGGAAACATCATGAGAAATGGAAACGACTGCTGCATCACCACTCCAGTTACTTATTTTCTGCTCCCACCAGGTTTACCGATGGCAATTCATCACAAAAAAGTTAGAATGTACATTCCACTCATAGCAAACATGTCAACATCTTTGAAAAGACATAGAGCTTAGACATGGGGCAATAGTGAACAACCCTCCTGTTTTACCATGTTGCTACCACTTCCTTGAATCACTATGGCAAAGGTAGCAGCTAGACTTTAATAATTAATGATATCTTCCTGAAACCTTTGCTACAGGGCGAGAGTCCTGTAACAGTCTTGGTGCCACTTGGGTCCTAACAATGTAACCTGTAAAGATCTATGTCTCTGCCTGGTATAACAAGGTTGCAAACCCCTTATGTTTTTTTAGGCTGTTTCCCCTCCTTCAGGTTAATTCCTAACTCTTACCCAACTGGACAGGGTGGATGCTGAAAGAATGTTTCCCCTGTGGGAGACACAAGGGCTTAGGGACACAGTTTAAAAATAAGATGTCTCCTATTTAAGAGTGAGGTGAAGAGAAATTTTATCTCTGAGGGTTGAGTCTTTGGAACTCTCTGCTTGAAGGGACACTGCTAGGTGAAGGTTGCCGGAAAACACAGGAATTTTCAAAGCTAGGAAGCCTGTGTGTGCTGTCCATTTTGTATATTTCTATTATTCAGAAGCCACCACACAGGGCTAAGGTTAATAGTATTGGATGAAATTTGATGTCCTTTGCCTTGGTGGTTTGGTGTTGGGCAGGGCATTAAGTCAGATGGGAGGATGATGGTTTGGTTATTGCTGCCTTCCTACCTGTGTCAAAATTGAATTCAGGGTGGCAATGGTTGCCCATCCTTCCCAACTTGCTGCCAATTGAGGCCCAAAAGTGAGCAATTAACACCCGTTTTGCTACCGCTGGAATGAAGCTGTTCCATGCGTGGAACCTGAAAAGGAAAAGGAAATTCTGGCAGTGTGGGAGAGGAGTTTGAAACCCTCATTATCAGACACCTAGTGCATGGCTGATGGACCCAGAAACTCAGTGACCCAAGCCAGTAACCTATCCTTCCCTCACCCATTAGCGCTGATCCTAGATCCTATGTAATGGCATTAGCACCAGTACGTGTAAGTATACACAGCTTTCAATGCGTGGGTATTCTGGAATCCTTGTTCCTGGGAAAGCCTCTCCTGTGGTCAGTGAAGTGCCCGAGTGGCACTTAATTCAATGGACCTTTCTTAAACGAAGGCTGTAACCCAACTGTGGTTGCGGGACTGCTAGTCGAGTTACATCGCTAGTACACCATCGCTTCCTCTTGTGGGATTTGTATCTTTTATAAGCCACGGCCTAGTGTATGAGAGCAGGAGTCTTTACTAGAATCAAATAAAACAGTGGAGAGACTGCAGCGATTGCATTGCATCCATTTCTGGTCATTGTAATACAGGTTAGATGTAATCATACTAGAGAAGATACTTGGAAGATTTACAAAGAATTAAGAATTATAACTATGAGAAAAGGTTGGAATGGCTATGTGTATTTTCTGTGGAACAGAAGAAGCTAAGGGAAATTTATTTAGTTAAACATTACCAACCACATATGGACCTGATAGATAATTGAGAGACACCTGAGTATACTGTACATGGAATCTTAGAAACCCTACAGTGTGGAAGCAGGCCATTTGGTCCATCGAGTCCTCACTGACTGTCTGAACAGCATCCCACCCAGACCCACCCCCTACCCTGTCCCTGTAGCCCTGCATTTCCCATGGCTAAACCACCTAACCTGCACATCTTTAGACTGTGGGAGGAAACCAGAACACCTGGACAAAACCCACACCGACATGGGGATAATGTGCAAACTCCACGCAGCTAATCATCCGAGGTTGGACTGACTATTCCAGTACAGCCAACTCCTGATAACTGTCAAGTTGCAAAATTTGAATTTTCAAAACATTTGAATTTAGTAAATCATGTTTTTTCACTTGTTCACGGAATCACTGCTAAGGTGAGCATTTATTGCCTGTTCCATTCGCTGTTGAGAAAGGCATCCTGAGAAACTGCCCCATCATCTTAAACTGCTGCAAATCCATCTGTTGTTACTAACAATGGTGTTAGTGAAGCGGCAAACTGTTAAAAGTTGAGACTTGGTTGAGGTAAGAATAGAATGTACCACTCATGTGATTATCACCTAACTTTTACATACTTTTAAAATGATACCTTTTTCCTTTAGTACCATGGTACCAATTGGATACAGACATTTTATAATCAACCTGTTCAGAGATGTTATTACACACCCTGGAGCAGGTGGGACTTGAACTTAAGCTGCTTGTCTCAGAGCTAGGGACACAGTCATTGTGTGCCAGGAGAGTTCACACTTCTTAAATTATCTTAAAGGGCAAGGTTATTGGCATTTGTTTGTCATTGTATGAATTATTTCATATTACCTCTCAGGGGTATCAAAAGCAATGTGTGTGTTTTACAGCAACACATCATTGACCCTGTGCGAAAGGCTTTGGACTATTACACAGAGATGGAAAAAGCCTTAGAAAAGGAGAAACAGAATCGTACTGGAGGGTCACAGAGTGATAAAGTAGTGAAACCTCCAGAGAAGCAGAATGAAAACCAAAAAAATACAGATCAAACTGAATCATATAAAACTGCAAACAGTACTAAGCTGAAAGTCAACAGTTCAGGCATTTTGAAGAAGACAAAAGCATTGCAACCTTTGCAGAAAATTGAGTAAATAAGTAAAATCAGATGATTTGGGCTTGGATATAATCCTAACAAACAGACAATAACTACTTATTGGCCTAGATTTTTCAGTGAGAGGATCTTGCTCATCACTAACTCTCTGGCATGGATTTCCTCTTTTCTAATGCTAATTTGAATTTGGCATGAAGAGAAGGAGACTTCTTCCTACCCAGCAGTAGTGATGTCAGCAAGCAGGATAAGCAACCAATCACATTGAAGCATTTTCACCTCCAGCAAATCAGGAAGTAAAATGCATTGATCATCCCTCACTTCTGATAATTTTTTACAGTGATCGAAATAAAGATTGACATATTTTATTACATTACAAAATTAGGGATTATTATTGGATGAAAAGTGTTGACATTGAAACATATTGGTTCCAAGGCTGGAAGAGGTTCCCTGGCGTTGGAAAAATAATTAGTAACAAGACATAATTTTTTAGGATGCTTTTAACAGTGATTTTACAGTGCAAAATGGGATGATTTCATCAGTTCAGTGATTTCTGAATTGATTATCACTTGCAGGAACTTCAATTGCATACTCCATGGAAAATATAGTCCTTGTTTAATTGCACATTTGGAACCTCCAGAAATTACTATCAGTTTCAGAGGAGATGGTGCAAAGTGACAGTTCCACCATCATCGCTACCACAAAATCTGGGCCAAACATACTATATTGCAGTGAGCAGAAACTATCAGAACTAGATGAAATCACATCCATCTACCTATTTTGGTCATCTATCAGAAATCATCTGGACAATATCTGCACTTGAAAATAATGTGGAAAAAAATCACAAAGTTCTCTCTTTCTGTCTGTGTAAAAAGTTCATCTGGAAGTTTGAGACTTGACATTAAATCATAAACAGGGTAAATACTGATCAAAAATGTGTGTGAATAAAACAAAACCTAAATAAGCTTTCAGTAATGTAACAAGTAACTACATGTAATGTTTATTGATGACATATTCTCCTAGTCAAAAATATTAAAAGAAACATTTTGACTGCTATTTTGAGAACTGAATGAGCAATATTTGAATAAATTGTTGCATGTTGCTCAGACTCTTAAATAAATTTATTTGAATTAAAACAGATCTTGCATTTCTCAACTTGTTTTTTTCCTTTAATCTTTCATTTGTCACCCAACTCTGATTGCCCTGAAACTGAGGATGGCTAAGTGTCAATCACATTAAGAACATAACACTGCTAAGCAAGACACTCAATATGATTTTTCTATGTAAACATTGTAATTAGAGATTTTGGAAATCAGAGCCCATTATAGTGAGACAATACTATTTTTCCATTCTCGTGGGTTGGCAATGGGACTTGTCATACTTAGTGCCATTTTCACTGGAAAAAATAGCATGACTCTTGACGTATTTCTATCTATTTGTGTAAAATATGAGAGCTGTGCTCACAACAGCTCTTTCAAAATGATTCAACATAGTTCCAGCTATTGACGTGTATACACACTTAATGTATTACCTTTTTGGTTCTCAAGCTGTGCAGGTAGTCATGGCTCCATGACTGTATTTTTGGCTGATTCTGAGTTACGTCAAATTTTTCAGAGGGTTTGTTGCTATGAGGCTTAGTGGGTTTACTCTTTGTATCTGACCGTTCTTGTCTCATTAATTATCTACCACACTCCTATGATATCTGTCAATGTCCAATTTCCACCCCATCCCTGGAATAACTTACCATCCAGCTGATAGCCACTGAAACACTGCAATCCCTTCTGCCCACTTTGAAAGCCTGTGGTACGCCAGACAAGCATTGTCAGTCTGAAACTGCCCACATCGTTGCTGCCAATTGCCCCGGACAGGGCAGAAAGGGGGAAGTCTATACTCTGCTTTGCAGGCAGGGTCCTGGAGTTCTTGCTGTACAGGTGGGGCCGAGGTAGGATGCCCTCTTCTCCAAGAACCAACCATGGAGACCACAACATCAGACCATGGCAGCCTTGCCTGAGGTTGCTATCTCTGTTAAAACACCACCCATCTAAAGGATTGCCCAGTGGTGTAGCAGGAAGCAGGTCAATGTCCTGCTCCACTCCGTCCACGAAAGTACCACCATTTACTCTCTGTTAGCTCACACTTACTGTATCTCAGCCTTGGTACTCGCCTCCCACCAAGGCTCATGCTCTACCACTTCTTATCGCATGCAGCATCTTCTCTGTTCACTGCCAGCCATCCCAACACCAATACCTCTGACTCTGCATGCTCAGGACAGCTCCCCACATGCACCAATAGTAACAGCTGTGCCAAACACTTCCATCACCCATAACACTTGCCTTTCTCTCATTTCAGGAGGAAAACAGACCACAATAGGGCAGGAAAAATCAAGATGAATGATGAGACAACAAGGTGCAGGGCTGGATGAACACAGCAGGCCAAGTAGCATCATAGGAGCAGAGAGGCTGACGTTTCGGGCCTAGACCCTTCATCAGAAAAGGGGGAGGGGAAGGGGGTTTTGAAATAAATAGGGAGAGAGTGGGAGGCGGATAGAAGAGGGATAGAGGAGAGGATAGGTGGAGAGGAAACAAACAGGTCGAAGAGGCGGGGATGGAGCCAGTAAAGGTGAGTGTAGGTAGGGAGTTAGGAAGGGGATAGGTCAGTCCAGGGAGGACGGACAGGTCAAGGGGGCAGGATGAGGTTGGTCGGTAGGAGATGGAGGTGCGGCTTGAGGTGGGAGGAGGGGATAGGTGGGAGGAAGAACAGGTTAGGGAGGCAGGGACGAGCTGGACTGGTTTTGGGATGCGGTATGGGGAGGGGAGATTTTGAAAATGCTATCCCCTATTCCCAATTCCTTCGCCTCCGCCGCATCTGCTCCCAGGATGAGGCATTCCACTCCCGTACATCTCAGTTGTCCTCATTTTTCAAGGACCGTAACTTCCCCTCCTCGGTGGTCGAGAACGCCCTCAACCGTGTCTCCCACATCTCCCGCACCTCATCCCTCACACCCCGTCCACGCAATAAGAACCAAAAAAGAATCCCCCTCGTCCTCACGTACCACCCCACCAATCTCCGGATCCAACGCATCATCCTCCGACACTTCCGCCATCTGCAATCCGACCCCACCACCAAAGACATTTTTCCCTCCCCACCCTTATCTGCTTTCCGGAGGGACAACTCTCTCCGTGACTCCCTTGTCCGCTCCACACTCCCCTCCAGCTCCACCACACCCGGCACTTTTCCCTGCAACCGCAGGAAGTGCTACACCTGCCCCCATACCTCCTCCCTCACCCCCATCCCAGGCCCCAAGAAGACTTTCCACATCAAGCAGATGTTCACCTGTACATCTGCCAATGTGGTATACTGCATCCACTGTACCCGGTGTGGCTTCCTCTACATCGGGGAAACCAAGCGGAGACTCGGGGACCGCTTTGCAGAACACCTACGCTCGGTTCGCAATAAACAACTGCACCTCCCAGTCGCGAACCATTTCAACTCCCCCTCCCATTCCTCAGACGACATGTCCATCCTGGGCCTCCTGCAGTGCCACAACGATGCCTCCCTAACCTGTTCTTCCTCCCACCTATCCCCTCCTCCCACCTCAAGCCGCACCTCCATCTCCTACCGACCAACCTCATCCCGCCCCCTTGACCTGTCCGTCCTCCCTGGACTGACCTATCCCCTTCCTAACTCCCCACCTACACTCACCTTTACTGGCTCCATCCCCGCCTCTTCGACCTGTTTGTTTCCTCTCCACCTATCCTCTCCTCTATCCCTCTTCTATCCGCCTCCCACTCTCTCCCTATTTATTTCAAAACCTCCTTCCCCTCCCCCTTTTCTGATGAAGGGTCTAGGCCCGAAATGTCAGCCTCTCTGCTCCTATGATGCTGCTTGGCCTGCTGTGTTCATCCAGCCCTGCACCTTGTTGTCTCGGATTCTCCAGCATCTGCAGTTCCTACTATCCAAGATGAATGATGAGCTGGTTAACATTTAGCTTCTCTCCTCTTATGTGGAGAGGACCCTGACTCCAACCAATCTGAGCAAGTCTTGGATTGGTATCAGTCGCTGCTCTTGACTTGCTTGTGCCAAAAGCCCAGCACTGTGGGTTAGCGCCCCAAGTTTGACTGGGGCTTGTTGACAACCATAACTAGCTTCCTTCCTTAGTGTTTGCATTAAATGGCATATCTAGACAGCAGTACTCTCAGCATGGTATCTCTAGCTGAGGGCACAAAACACAAAAAGGAAAGGCAATGAAAGGCACTGACACTGCATCCAGGGAGGCTCAGAGTGTGTGTATTAGGTCAACAAGCAAAAAGCCCAGAGATGTAGCCTTATTCCAGTCGATGAGCTGAATGCAAGTCCCTGAATGCACAGTGTCCTTGCTGTAGCATTACACAGATAGTGCTGGTATTTCCCGAGGAACAGCATTAAATCAGAGAGCATGCTGCAGCTATGAGGGTTTTTTTAGAGGTTGGCACATGTTGAACGTGGACATTGTCATGGGGTGCATGTTGCAGGTGCTCATGGAGCATGACATAATGCTGCCCAGTATCCAATATGGAGATTGTTAGGAACAAGTGGCGAGCTGAACCCACGAGGTGCATGCTTTGGTTTCTTTGTCAAGTTTGGCCAAATTTGATTTTATTTAGTAAGTTCGGCAAGATGGGAGGCTGAATATTAATGAAGCATGCTGGGCTAGCAAGGCATTCAACAAACAATAATCAACGTCACTCGGCAACTTACCATTGCCTAGCTGTTTGTGAAAAGTGATATGAGTTATCAAGATGGGCCTTACCACATGTTTTGCCAGATTGTACCTTCTGGGGTAGAGGTGACCTGTACAAGAGGGACGGGTTGCACTCGAACTGCAGGGGGTCCAATATCCTTGCTGGGAGATTACCTAGTGTTACCCCAGAAAGTTTAAACTAGTTGAGCTGGGGGTTGGGACTCTGAATAAGAGAGGGGGCCACTGAGAAGTCAGGGGAAAATACATTAGCCATCAAGAGCAAGTTTACTAGTCAGGATAGCCAAGGGCACAGTAAAGAGAGA